AGTGTATCGCAAAGTTATATTCAGAAAAATAAACCAGTTTTATTTAAGAAAGGACTTGTGCCGCTAAAGTTTCGTCAGAACGAATTTACGAAAAATTAACTAACGAACGGAGATGTAACAATATTTATACCAAATGTGGAATATACTTGACAAATCTACCCATGGTCATTCTAAAGCTGAAATGTATTGGTCAAAAATGCCCATATCTGTCCTAAACCTTGTTACAGATTTGCCATTTCAAATTTTCAATTATGTTTTACCTTCTTTTTTCACATTTCCCCAAAATATTAACATTTACGCCTATATATCATTCATCATAGTTTTCATAAAGATAGATGAAATGTATATTCAACAATAAATTCAAGACAATATTCAGAAAATGTTTATATTTTACAAACTAATCATAAACTCTACATCACAAAGAACTTAAGCAGAGCATATTATAAATTCACTTGCACTTGGTCTTTGAACTTTTCTAGATATCTTAATGTGAAATATGGTTATAAAGGAAAAGTGGAACATACTGGTAGGCCAACCACTGGATATGGCTTTGGGTGACATTTTTAGTTTAATAGCATATAGCACCTCTATGAAAAACATATATATTATATATGGAGGATCCATTCATCATTGGCCCTTCCAGCAATCTTAAAAATATCAGAATTACACATTCTCCTAGGGTATATTCTAATATGCTTGACCTAGTGAGTGATCTGAAGTTGGTTTATTCTTTTATTTGTGTTAATAGTTTCCTTTTTGTAGAACTAATATAGCTTTGCTGGCAGCAAGGATACATAAATTTACAAACTAGTAGTAAAATAACAAACGATGACCATAAAGTTGAAATTTGGTACTTAAATTTAAAGAAGTGGGGAACGATTAGGTTTAAACACACACGTTAATTGTATCCATGCAATAGCACAGGAAGCCTGGACCCCACTTTTCAATCTTTTCCAGTATATATATGCATCAAAATTTGGAAAAATTACTCTCAGCTAAACCAGGAGAATACATAAAATTTAATCCAGAACCCACGAGCTCCTAGGGCCCTAAGCAAGCACTGCATTCCGGCTGTAATAGGTACACCTGTAACACACATTCTCTCGCTTTCCTCAGTCAATTAAACCTTGAACCTCCCCCCACTTTGATTATTTCCTACACTTCTGCTGGGGGTTTATTCTTCGAATAACTTGTTTCAGCTGATTATTAATAACTAAAAATATTTACCTATAAACTAGTGGGTGTTTAGACACATCAATTGGATTTACGGTATAAAAAGTCTGCTTATTTAAATAAGTAAGAAGTATTCTGTGGATCATAAAATATGC